CGGGGACAAGAAAAGAATTTTTATTCACGAAAAAAAAAAAAGAAAAGAAAAAGAGGAATAAATTCGGGCCCATTATTTATTTTCTTTTTTACTCACTGGAAGAACACCCCCCTTCTCCACCACGGCCTAATTATGGAGTTACCCGCATCCTAGACTTTTAGAGGAGCTTTGAAGAACTCGCACACACACACACACACACATATACTATTACATTGACACAGCTGACACAGCAGACGGAGACAGCAAGGGGAAAAAAAAAAAAAAAAAGGGCTGAATTCTCCAATAGCCGTCTGCCATCGTTGGTGCGCCTGGCTTTGTCAGGTGCATCTTCGGTACCGTGCAGCGAGCTACAGGCTGGGATAGGGGACGGTCTAGACACGCTCAAGGCACTGAACATGTCACGTACGCAACACCGAGCTGGAACCGAGATATTTTCGTCAGCCTCCACGAAGTTGTGGGTATCCCAAGAAAGACTCGTTCGTCCCTCTTTTTCGTAACATTGTCTTTTCTTTTTTATTATTATTACTTTTTCTTTTTTCTTTCCGTGTCGAGTCTCCGCAAAGTCAGGGACCACTCAATTAGTCTCGGGCATTCTTTCGATGAACTGCTGGACGGGTTAACCGCTTCGCTATGGGGAAGCTCTATTGGCGGCTTATAGGACCTCAACATGCGATGGCAAAAAGACTGGACAAGATCTCCAGCGGGGACACAGAGATCTTCCAAAGCTTGGCGTTCCGTTCCTCGGTACTTGGTCCATTCACCGCAGAATGACCTGAAGAAAAGAGTGAGATGAAAAAAATATGATGGTCAAGTGCTCGCATTATTAACTTTTTTTTTTTTTTTTTTTTTTTTTTTTTTAAACCGTTACACGAGGTGAAGGCTCTTCGCTGGCAATATACGGGCGCAACATGCAACATGCAACCTTTTGAGGACAATGATGTGATTCTCAGCGTCGCATTGATAGCCGCCAGACATAGTCACCCGCCCGTGTGTATACTTGTTACTGGAGCACACCTGAAGGCTATTCGGTTGATCGTCATCTACGGCCACATGGCATGGCCAAATCTCTTTGCACTAAAGAGGGGGGGAGAACAGCAAAAACAGAGTTGGTCTGCACCGCCATCGCATGACTTGCATACTAAAAAAAGGACCGTCATACTTTTTCCCTCGTCGTCGAGACCGTTCAAATCCTCGGAAACTACTTCGGGCTTATTCAGTCAACCACCAATTGGCATTTCTGAATCGAGTCTCGGGCGTTCTAGATTCCGGGCCCCAGAACCATATAAAAAAAATACAAAGTACACAATTTTTTTTTTTTTTTTTTGGAGTAGCCCATCTCCACGTACTCCTCCAACTACAAAATGTAGTTTTATGACGGGATCTTAGCCTGGCCATCCTCCCCCCCGTGCCATGGCATACGTACGACTCGTCAAATCAGGTGGCAGGATCCCGTACCCATCACCAGAGCCTCATGGTGACTTAATGCCGCCGCGGCATTCAACCGGCCGTCTCCTCTCACGAAACACGGCTTCTCCACAAAGACGCCGAGTTTTCGCGGATGCGACGGCCGACCACGCCCCCTCTAAGCATTTCCTCCACGTCTAGCATTTCTCTCTCCACGTCTCCTTTAGGGGGGTTTAAAAAAAAAAAAAAAAGAAGATGAAAGAAAACAGGGAAGAACCACCGCCTGTCCAGAACCAAGAATACCAACTGTAAAACCGGGGCCATCCCGCCCCCGGCGGAATAGGGAGTTCATTGTAGTAATTAGTGTATGGCCGTTGCAAGGCTCCTGCGCAAAAAGCCAAATCTGGGCGCGGAACTCCAGCGCGCGCCTGCGGTATCTCTTCCAGCTTGGTCAATGGGCATTGGCTCGCGTGGTGACCATGATTATACACAACGCGAAGACCGCTCTAAACACGCTGAGGTGGTCGACTTGTTAGCCCGATCGAGTTCCAGCGAGTTTCATCGCGTATTCTAGGCCCCCTCCCCCCGGCTACGTAAGAACACCAATCAACCGCGCCAATGCACCCATTTCTCTTCCTGGGATTGCCAGCCGCTCTCCATTGGTGCGCATTTTTCTGGCCCTTGTTGGGTGAGCGAATATGCACTGGACATGGGCCAGACTGCCGTCATTGTATGTATGTGTGTATGTGTGTGTGTGTATACGGGCTTGCGGGTATCTTGATCGATACTCCTCCCTTGGAGCCTTGAAAGCTTTTGTTGTTGTTATTGCTGCTGCTATATCCCCCTCATGATGTCAGACACTCAACAACCTTAAGCTCAGCCTCGACCACGAGTGGAAAGTCACCCTTGAAAGCCCAGAACCCTATCCAATTCCAATCTCAACCCATTGTAGGTAGGGCGTGATTCGGCCGGGGAGACATCTCAAATGTCTTAAACTCAGTCGTCATACCCGGTATCCCACACCCCGCATCTCGTACAACGCCGAAACTTGACCTCCCCTCCCCCCCAAGAATAAGCCAAAGCTATACCCATCTGTGCCTGTACCCATCGCGTCCGTGAAAGCCAGGAGGAAAAAAATCCAACGCCCTCCCGACGCCTTCAACGCCACGAAGGCATAAAATAGAGTAATAGAATCTGAAAGAATGAAAGAAAGAATGGTCGCCGAGCTTCGCAATCGCGTCGTTTCGGCAACCTGCCGTATCTACTGGCGCGTCGTCGAGTCCGAACGCGGGGGAGAAAAGAAAAACACCCCAGTGCCTCTTTTTAGTTTCTCTCCCCTTTTCCTAAGCGCGCCCGCGATCGTAGCTTCAGCCTTCCCCTTCTCTAGGGCGCAACAATCTTAACATCTTGTCCCTCTCGCTATCCCATGTTTGAATACCCTCCCCCCCCCCCCCCCCCCCCCCCCCCCCCCCCCCCCTTCTCGTAAGGGGAAAGATTGCACATTGACGCCAATGGAAGGTTACCCCAAACGCCCACCTGGAACCGCGAAAGGCAAAAAAATCAAGCCACCAACCCACGTCCGGCTATTAAACGTGTACATGGATTGAAGCACTGAATTGCCCTGTCCAAGCCACCGTAGTGTTCCTGGTAAGGAAACCCAAACAGTGTCAACCGCGGTAGATGTCGGTATATCCATCGGCTATCTTGCAGATTACCGACGAGAGATGGAATTAATAAGTGACTTTCTTGGATAATGCTTCCCCCCCAGCCTGTAAGGCAAGGTCACGTCCGAAAAGGGAAAGAAAAAGAAATCAAGGACAAACCATCCGATCTTGCCCGTTAAGCACACTTCAAGCTTCAAAGCTTCAAAGAAAACGCGTGTACATACATATACACACACACACACATACGCTTCCCACCTGACAGCCCCAAACTATGATTCTTTCCCCCCTCTCCCGTAAACAGAGAGACACATGATCACGAACAGACATCGGACAAACGGGACGAACGAGGAAACTCTCAAACCTCCTCCTCGGTACACTCGATATCCCAAACACGCGGGTCCCCCCCTCATATCTCTCTCTCTTGACACTCCCCGTCGCCATATTCGCTCTTGACCACGACGTCGATAATGACCAAGACGCCAAAAACACTCAATTACACGCGATTGATAGAAGAATCCACCGCAGATTGAGGAGAAGGGGGAAAAAAAAAAGGGGGGGGGGGGGGGGGGGGGGGGGGGCGTAAGTAACATTGTCCACGCGCTTGTCCTTCTGTACGTGTGTACTGTACGATACCGGACTTTCACATGTCCACGATGTAGCAAGTACTATAACAAGCAAGAACAGCTATACCAGAAGAGAGAAACTCCTCCCCCCAAAAAAAAAAAGCCAAAGCAACTCTTTCAATCCAGTCCAGTCCGTTTTATTTCCTCCCCAATCAGTAAACCCTTCGGTTCACACCCTCCTGGCGCTGCCCCTTAGCGTGCCCGCCGCCGCGTTTGTTAGAATCACCAATGCCACGCGTGCCCTGGGGGGGAGGAGGAAGAGAACAATGCGGCCCGTCGAGGCTCCTCCCCCATCTGCTTGTGATCCTGAGCTTGAACCTCCTCTCTCCTCCCCCCAAGCTTACTAGCGTAGCGTGCTGTACGCTGTACACCTACCACGTAGTTAAGGACCTAAAGAGAGCAACCGTGTAGGAAAAAAGGCCCTTGTGAGCGGTGAGCGCATTGACATAGCCCTCCTTCCTCCTGCGCTCTGTCAGATGGCCTTCCGTCTGCATCAGTCAGCCGTGGTCATCAGTGTCGGCCTGTTTGACTCGGCCCTCTGCATTAGTCACAAGACATCGTAGTCGCAATTGAGGCACGGAAATGGTTTGATTCAATAGCCAACTTTTATTCATGTTTTTGATAAGCTCTTTGACGATTTTGCGATTTTTTTGAGGTGTTCGTCATAATCATTTCGCTTTTTTGGGTCCTTTTGCGCCGACCACTTCGCACGCAACCCTGCCAGCTTTTTGTCCTCCTCTGTTCCTATTTTTTCCCCTCCTCCTGCGCTTGTGGTTCTCCATTTTTGCTTTTCCACTATTCCTATTTCCCTCCTTTGTCGTCAGCATGCCCACAACAGTGACTCTTCGTGTCTCTAGCCCCGTTGTTGAGGTCGCCCTCGGGTATGCCTTCTGTAGCTTTGTCTTTGCCGTCCATATGAGTACATACAATCCCTCGCCAGTACAAAGCTTTCAATAACCATGATGTAAATGTAAAGACCCAACCCATTGATAAAACATGAAGGTGGTATGTTGCAAAAACAAAACAGACCATGGTATCATATGATGAGACGCCGTGCAAATGTAAAAATTAGAATCAGTTCCACAAGGCCTCACTCGGCCTATTGAACAAGTCCAGCCCATGCGTGCCCGGTATTAGAGATAGAGGGCAGAGCCGATGCGATGTTGCCGCGCGCAATGCAATGTAAAATAGCAATCAAGAAACATTTTTTGCTCGAGCGGACCCGTTGGGTCATACGCTCGCCGGATATCGTGTTAAATATGTGCTGTTTTTTTTTCGGTATGTGTTATGTTGTGATGGTGTAGATCAATTACCATCCCTTGGAGTGGTAGCCTCCGAAGTTGTCCGTATCCTTGGAAAAGTACTGAGGAGGAACTGGGGCATCCTCAGTCTTCTTCATGCAGACCTTCTCGGGGTACTGCTTCAGGTTGGCAACGTCGTGGGAGGTGTGGCGCCGCTTAAGGACGGCATTGGCCGTCGACGACTTCTGCTGACGCTCCCAGAGAAGGTTACGTCGGAGAGACTCGGTCAGCTCGGTTGCGAGCATGTTGCGTCGGGTCGTTCGGGGAGAGAGCGCGGCCTGAAGATGGCTGTGGCTAGCCGTCGCCACGATGGGCTGAGCGGCAGACCGAGGCACCTCAGTAATGGGCTTCAGAGGGGATGAGCGCACACCACGCTTCATCATGAGAGGAGCGTCATCAGAGTCGTTAGGAGAGACGGCCAAGGTGGGAGGTGCCGGGTGGCTAGTGCGCGACCAGGGTAGTGCCGAGGTAGACTGGGAGGCAATGTTGCCGAGGTTTCTAGAGCGACCGTTCTGCTCGTCAATCATGAGAGTAATCAGCGAACGGCGAGATGTCAGGTTGACCTTGGAGTCGACGCGCTGGAAGAAGGTCTTCTCGTCAATGCTAGACTTGTTGCTATCCTCAATCGAGTCTTCCCAGTCGGAAGAGTCGTCGTCGTCATCAATGGCGCTCTCGTCCACGTAGTCAGTTTCCGAGTCGTCGGCAATGGCCGAGTTATCATCAGTAATGGTGCGGGTGAGGACGTGATCGGCGAAAGAAGTCGTCTTCTTCTGTCCGTTGAGAAGCGAGCTCGGCCTGGAGGCAAGGGCGCTCTTCAGGGAGCTGTCTTCCTCGGAAGAGCCGCCAACCTGGAACATCTTGCGCTTCGGGGCAGGGGCCGGAATGGGACGCAGGTTGTCAATGCTTTGGCCCTGCTCGCTTGAGGAGCAAGATCCGCCAAGGGCAAACATGGGCTGCTTCTTGGACTGGATACGCTTGGCAGCAGGCGATGAGCTAGGCTCAGGGATGGCAGCAGGCGAGACGACCTTGGGAGGAGTGGCAACAGCACGGTGAATCGGGACCTGGGAGGGAGAGAAGCCGCGAACAACGGTGGTGTGAGAAGTAATCTCGGGCGAGGGAGGCTCTTGTGAGTGCTCCTCCTCCGAGGATTTGCAAGGTGACTCGGTAGTAGTGGATCCGGAGTGCTCGTAGGCGGGGGAAGCAGGAGCCAGGTCGGGCGTCTCCTTCTGGGGAGGCATATAAGGTGATGTGATCTGGGGAAGAGGTGCGGAGAGAGGCTCGTTCTCCTTGATGATGGAGACTACCATCTTCTCGAAGTCACCAGAGGTGATGTGGCGTTCCTTGCCTCTGCTGCGGCTGCTGGCACAGGAGTCTTGTCTTTGGATCTGGGGACGGATCTCAAGGGGAACTGAGTTGGAAGCAAACTCGACAGCTTCGTCGTCGTTCTCAGACTCGACGCTGCCGGATAGTTGAGGAAGGTCTTGTAATCTGCCGGTTTGGGGGATCTCTCTTGGTTGGCTGGTGGCGGTGATAGAGGCCTCTTCTTCTTCAGCGCAGCAGAACGTCTCGTGGTTCCACATGCGCCAGCTGAGGTTCTCTAACCTGCGGCCCTGCTCAACAGACTCTGCGCACTTGGCAAAGACTATAAAGAACACAAGTTAGCGATTGAATCCAGCTGGCCCCACAAGAGAGCAGCCAAGCCTGATGCTTACCAGTCCACATGCTGTAGAGGTTCTGAGGATTTGAGGTGTCGACCTTGTGGATAACGTTGGGGTCCACAGTCAGGACGTGGGTTGCGAGAGGATAAGGCATGGCGCCGGAGTGTTCTGCTCTGGTCGAGCAGGTGACGGTCGTCTGTTCAGATGCTGTTGTTGCGGTAAAAGTCGCGAATGACGCCCAGAAGTAGGGCGTAGGGTGAAGGGTTGTAGGGTTGAGTCGGCGCCGGAGCGGATTGGTATTGATGATTGTCTCGATCAACAGTGAGTCGCGAGTCGTAGGTGGCGGCCGATGATGTCGACTGTAGGGATTGAAGGGCGCTATGTAGTCGTCGGCGGCGAGGTCTCTCGAGCGGGCTGGTTCTGACGAGAGAAGACGTAGAAGGGCGACGACAGGAATGCTGTAATATGAGATGGCTCTTCGGACGGTCAAGGCGGAGAATGCTGCGGGTGCGCCTAGGGGGAGATGTCGACGTTGAAGATGCTGGTGGAGCGATGAAGTAAGAGGAGAGGGAAGGGTGGAAAGTCTGGGGGAAGGACTTCTTAATTATTATCGTCACCTCAGTCTGGAGCGAAGTAAAAGATGTGGATTAGATGGCAGCGGAGTGGGATGCATGTAAGTAAGTATGTAATGTGTGCGATGGGTATTTGGGGGGGGAGGGACGGGGGGGATGATGGGTATGGGGGGCGTGGGATAAAGGGGGAGGGGGGTGAAGAAAAGATGGGGGTGAGTGTGCGGTGAGTAAATTGTATTTCCTCATAACATGGAGCATGGGGCAAGCGAAAAGGAAAAGAAGACAAGAGGGAGTGGGAGCAGGGGCCCTTGGAGGATGGGGCACCACACCGGGCAGGGGGGAGTGGGGAGAAGAAGAAGAAGCAGAAGGAGATACGTACCTCGAAGACCTTTAGCCTTGGCTCACGATGGGGAAGGTACTCAGGTACTGAGTCCAAGTACCGCCGTCGGTGGCTTTTGCTGGCCAGACACACCAGCACCCACCCGTACCTGCCCTCGCTGGTGGGAGGTGATGTGTACGTACCGCAGCCCCCCAGAATAAAAAAAAAATAAAAAAAGAAAGGGAGAAGGAAAGAGCGACCGACAAGGGTTGTTCGTAGTGGAGGGTGGTGGCGGAAAGGGCCTGACTGTCAGGACCTTCCCCCCAAAGCATGAGGCATGGAAGATGAGGTAAATGGAAAGTGCAAGCAGGAAAAGAGCAGAACAGCAACCGCAACAGCAATGTCTATCCAATGTCTCGCCGTCGCCCTGTCTCTCTTCCTTCCTTGTGACGCCGCCTCCCGAGTTAGACGTGGCTCTCTACGGTTCAAGACAGCCCGGGACAAGAGGTCCAGAGCAAGGGTGGACTCCCAGGGGGGAGGCCAGAGGGGCATTGGTGCTCTTCCCTCGTCTATTTTTCTCATGCTCGCTCTTGCGGTCTTTCTCTTTTGCGGACTGATTTTTGAATTGAGCCGTCGTGAATGGTCCTGGGTACGTATTCCCCTCTATCGACGAAAGAGAGAAAAAAAACGAGCAGCCCAGGTGGATGGAGGGTGCAGGGATACTGATGCTGAGGGCTGCCCAAGGGACCGAGAAGTCCAGAAACCCGTGGTTCGGGGAAGGTCGGTACAATGTCTTGACGGGGGAAGGCGTGGTCCCCAGAGTCGACCTCAGCTTCAGACCTTCAGGTACATACGCAGCAAGAAGTACTACCGTTCTTTTACTGAGAGACAGAGGACGGTTGAGCTAATCCTAAAACGGTATCTGCTTTGGCGGAAAAATCGGAAAACGCTATTCTTCTTTGGGAAACCCAACGCGCTCTTGCTGTGTGAATGACCATTGATGATACTCAATTTGGTCTAGCGTACCCTTTCTCAGGCTTTTCTCTTTTGGGTAATACCTGAGCTTCCTGCCCCAGACGGCGGAAGACGGTCATCTGCCCTTCTATTCTCTCCGTTCTGGAGCTTCCTTTCTCAAGCAGTCTCTCTCTCTCTCTTCATGTACTCCTACACTCAGTCTCCGTTCCACAGTTCAGCAAACCTGGACCTGGCCTGCCATCAGCTTTGTCCAGCCCGGTCCAGCTCAATCCGTTGAATCCACCTGTCCTCCTCTCCACGTTCGCGTCCCCCGTTCAGCTCCACGTCAAAGGTGGTCTGCGCTTTCTGCTCACGGGACCGTTTGGCTTTCGACGATTTGGGTCATGTGATGGATGCTGGTATTTCGCCGTCTTCAACCACAGCCCGCAGTCCGTAGTCCGCAGTCCGCAGTCGCAGTCAAAGTATTGCCCCGTTGTTGGCCTCCCCCGTCTCGATGGTCAAACGGACACTCAACTCACACAGGTGGACTGTGGCTCGCTCACCCCGTCTGGCCGAATATGCGCCGCGCCTCACTCCACGTTTTCCATTTCGACGTCTCCATCGCCTCGTCTCGCCTTATCCTACCCTCCACGTCCGGTCATCCGTTACGCTTTTTCCGTCTACCGTCTGTCGGTACCTGACCGAACGTCCATAAGCTACCCAAAGAGGAAAAGACTATTGAGATACTTCCCGAATAGGCTTGACGCCATCTCTGATCTACCGTCCTGCCGGCACTGTTCCCATTCTGGCTCTCCCGCAGAGACGGCCTAGAACGAATGCAGCCTCGACACTTTTCGCTGCCCTTTACAGCGATTTCCGTCTGGTCACGAGCCGTCAAACTCGTACCTCTGTCTTCCTGCCGAAACGGATCGTCTGCCCAGCAAGACCCAGAACCCAAAGAAACCCAGCCGCCATCCGTCGCAAAATCGCCAGCAGCAGCGTCCATTGCCAGTGCCAGCCGCCCTCCAAAGCCTGTCCCCTGTCGTCGGCTATCCAGCTGCTCACCTGCCCTGCCGTCTTTTCTTCTCCGAACGTGGGGAGACGTCCGTCCCTCTAAAGATGGCCTTTACAGGCTCTACGCCTCCAACTGCCCTCCCCCCGTGACTTCGGACCAACCCAACCCAGACCTGTCTGCCCCTAATCGTCGGGACGACCGCCAATCGCCTCCCTGGAAATCACTTTTTGTGTTCCGCAACTGGGACCAAACGGATGCCTGTTCCGACGTTCAATTTCCCCCATACTCACTCCCCTCTCCCCCTCTCCAGCCCAGATCACGAGTCACAGGTATCGCTGCAAATACATTGCATGTAAATTGGATTTTCATGTCAATGCCGCCCAGAGACCACATGTTCGCAACTCCTTTTTATTTTATTTTTGTTATGGGGTTTGAGAACACATGAGGTTTTGAATTCCGATGCGCCGAATGAAACGCTGTCTTCTGAATGGAGAAAAGGGACGCGTCCAGGGCATTCAGTGATGACCACTTGGCGACTCGAGTGCCCGTGTCCACGAGACTATCGCCCATGGCTGTTGCATAGCCCTCGATAGTGTCGGCGTCCTCTGGGTCAATGGACATCAACGTGCTTAGGGCCCGGGCCCGCGATGGCGACAACGAGGTCAATCCGTCGCCCCCAAATTTGCTTGCGGTCGAATCGGCGACGGCCCGTCCTTCAGCGCTGACACGGCGATGTGACATGCTCTGACTCCCCCGGCTGCTTGCGATTTGCTGCTTGACTGGTTGCGGCGCGCCTGCGCTCACCCCAAACTCGACCCCGTGATGCTGCCCATCACTTAGGTGATCAAATCCTGCCGTTTGTTGCCTGTCGCCCGCCTGTGGGCTTAGCCCGCGTGAGAGGTGTCAGTAATGACGAGAGGCGCAATATCACACACAATCTTGTTGATGCTGATCGCTGGAGAAAATTAAAATACACCCCGTTCTTGAATATGCAAAAAGCAGGACTTTCGGTACGGCATTGTACCGTTGTGTCTGCGCGTCGCCTCATTACCCCGCGGCTGGCAGTGTCTGTCCTGTCATGGGATCCGGAATCTCAGCGAGGCAAGGGATGTATCAGGCAGCCACACGCCTTGCGGGCTGTTTGCTTTCCACTGAGTTATCTGTTTTGCTCACGAGAGACGCTTGCCGTGCCAACTCAGAAGATAGGCAACATGAGGACGGGAAACATATGCAGTCAAGGTCAGAAGGTAATATTTGGACTGACTTGCTGGAGAGGAAATAGGGCGCATGCGCAGCAACCAGCGTGCCATGCCTCGTTGAACCCTTGATGCTTTGGTTCCTGAACTAGCAGAGACACTCTGCCCCAACTCTCAAGCCTCCAACATGGCTTGTTGGTCACCCGGCCCAAAAAAAAAAAGTACCTTGCAATTGGGGGAGGTTACAATTGGACCCTTGAAACGTCACATTCTCAATGCAGCAGCTCTTGGGGCTGGGCTTTCGAATTGGGCTGCCACTGTGGCCAGACTCGATTCTAACATCAATGATGACAGCATTGACTTTGTTGACTACTGTTGAACGACAAGCCTGTTCACTTATGAGGCAGTGAACAGCGCTTGTTTGACAGATCACATTCGTCCCCGAAGAGAAAAGAAATAAAAATAAAAAGGTAAGGCCTACTGTTGTCAAATGGGGTTTCAGTGATGATTTCTGGTCAAGTGACTGGTTCCCTCCAGCGCCAGGTCTAAGCCAATCCCATAGACTCTCCGTCCATCGCCGCTGCGTGTGGCCAACATCAAAGCCCAAGGCTAAAGCCATCATTTGTTTTGCCGTCATGAAGCCGCGCGGTGCCCAGCATGACTTGACCTATTGTTTGTAGGTATAGCCGCCTCTTACGGCAGGCGGAGCCCTTGATTCCCGCCGTTACATGTCGCCGTAGGCATGGGGTGAGGGAGGATTCTGGATTCTCTCTGGCAAGCCTGAAGTACCTTACCTAATGTGATGAGACGGGTAGCTGGAGCCATTACCCTGGAATGAGCTACGCCCTCGTCACGCCCAATATTGACTGTCGAGCCCAAATGAAGCCTTCCAGGGGGGTTCATTTCTCAAAGACAACCCGCCGTACTGGTGTTTGCGTTGCAAAAGAATGGGCTCCGGGGGACCACGATGTCTCTTCCGCGACCGACTAGCAATACCGAGGACGTGGTAATCACACATCGTGTGGAGCTAATGAAATGTCAGGCCTCCCTTCCCTCCCCCCGACATCCCCGACGATGGGCCAGGAGATGTGATGGCTCCCCCTAACAGGAAGAGGACCCAAGGTATTATACGGATATGACGACCATCATACGAGACAAGGGGAGAGAACCGTCCAGGCCAGCGGAGCTGCATCGGTGCAGTCTCAAGATGAAGAGCCAATGACTCTTGAAGACGGGGGGGGGGGGGGGGGGGGGGGGGGGGGGGGGAGCGTTTCTTTCAGTCACTTTCACTTTATCCCAAAGGCCTGGATACCGGTCTGCATGGGTCGTGAGATGATAAGTTCAGAAGGACGGTCTTGGATCTCAAGGCCGGTGAGTAAAGTTCGTCATGCTTGCAGGCGAAATGGCGCGACGGACGATAGACCAGCATCGCGCGTGGTGGTTTCCCCGGGGGGTGGCCATGACGGGGGGATGGAAGTGAATCTACATTTGGGAAAAGCTCGTTTCCAACGACCCGGATTTAAAACTGGCGATGCAGCAGCAGCCAGCATCCATTCTACCAGGAGGAGTGTAGATAGCTGTTGGTTGTGTTCGTCTGGTGTTGATGGCAGCCCAGCCAACGGCGATGAGGCAAAGCCGCAATTTGTTCGAGGGGGACAAGAGGAGCGTTCGCCTGAAGTTGAACTGGGGGGGGGGGAGGGCCGGTTGGCACATCATCACTTTCGACCCTCTCTGCCATGTAGTACGCCTGGTCACCGGTAGAAGAATTGGGAAGCTGGCAAGTGCCCAAGAACCGGGGACAGGCCTCAAAACTCCACTTAACATTTCACTGGCGCAGCAACTCGGCCTGGCTTGCGGCCCTTTTTTTTATTCGGTTTGCACCCAAGTTCCGTCTCAGGGATTAAGAGTAGGGGGGGGAAGAGAAAAGTTCTAACAGTTCGAATCACGAAAGGGACAAAAGATCCAGGAGCCCGGGCACTCGGCATACACGATGAGACGAAAAAGATGCCCGGTTCCCTGGCCTCTCCCTTTTTTGTCAATCAATCAATCAATCAAACCCCGGTACATGTTTGACGGTGTTTGCCGCCGCCAGCAAGTATTAATGATTTATCGCATTTCGCCGACTGAACTGGGTATCACGTCGTCTTTGGGCCGTAGAGTTTGCTAGCCACCCTTTCTAGCTTCCAGCTCGGGAGATTACAAGGCAGACAAGAGCACTGGATACATGGTAGAGACCGCCGGAGCACGAAGATGAATCTAATGAATGTTGTGCTTGCATACACACACACTTTCTCTCTCTCTCTAATACTGGATGCGACATATGGATTCGATGGCCTCCAGAAAAGGAAGATTGTGGGGGGGGGGTTCTTTTTAATCCAGAATCGTTGGCGGCGGACGGGGCCGCTTCCGTTGAGCTGGGCCCCGGTCCTCTCTACTACGCAGTAAGCTGAATGGTGGAAAGGGGGGGACCAAGTAAGTCAGCTGGCCCTATCTCTCTCTCTCTCTCTCTCTCTCCCGCGAGAAAAAGAAGCAAAGGGAGGGCGCCGACAGCGCGTGCTGGGGGGCTGGCGGCAGGCGGCAGGGCGGCTGTGGACGGCGTAGGCGAAGCGAGCCAGCGCCTCTCCCCCCTCCCTTCGGCTCAGCTTGCGCCTCTCTTGTTTGGTTTTTTTTTTTTTTTTTTTTGTGGCCAGAGACGGGAATGGCTGCGCAGGGCCAAGTGTAAACGCGAAAGCAAACGCGAAAGCAAACTAATACGGGCATGACATACGAGATGCTGCGTAGTTACTTGGCCCCCTGTACGGTGTACCTGACCTGACCTGACCTGACCTGACTCTGGCTGCTGCAATGCCCGGAGGGGAACGTGGGAAAAGCAACTACCGGCGCCGGACATGCGCTGCCATCTATGCTTGTCTGAGCGGCGGCAGACAGACATACAGACATACAGAAATACAGACAGTAAGCCAGCCAGCCAGAAGGCGTAGATGGGCGCGGCACACAAACACAAAAATTGTTGTTCATGGACCGGCAGAGGCGGCGCGAATGGCGCCGAGGGGACCCGCCATCCTTGACTTCTGGTCAGGTGTTTTGCGAAAGCTGGGCCTTGGGGGGCGGCGGCTTGCGGGCCGGACACTCTTCCGCCGGGACGAGGATTTCATTGGAGGACGAGAGACAGACAGTTACTGAGTGTGCGCTGAGCAACCCCCACGCCGAGAGCCATCACTTAAGCAAAACCCCCCTCCCCCCAAATCTCGTATCACACCGATACATGGTAGTTGGTTTGATAATACGTACAGAGAAGCGCCTGTTCACACCATCTTCTTTGGGGACCCCTTGATGTCGGTATTGGACAGCAATTTACATTGTATGTGTGTGTGTATGTATACTAGTAGTGCGCAAACGCCCCGAAACGTGGCTGTCCTCCCCCCCCCCCCCCCCCCCCCCCCCAATGCTGTGTTTGCGTTGATATCGCTCACCTCTAGCCATTTTTGGGAGTGATGGTGATGTATGAATGTCGGTGTAGACGAAAAGTTGGGGGGATGGGGGACTATCCATACCCGTAGTAGGTAGGTTTGGGGACAACGGGGGGAGATCTTCCATGTCATCCTTTTTTTTTCCCAAAGAGGGTCTGTGGCTTTTCCATTTCTTTTCTTTCTTTCTCTGTCCTGACACCATCGCCGGAGGATGCATGGGCGATGTGAGCGGGATGCCGGTAGTTTTCCTGTCCGTCCGCACGCGCGGGGGTGCCGGTCGCGGGAGGAAGTTACATGGTTGAGGAGATTGCATACACTTTCCGCCAAGACGCTTTTCAGCTTTCTGTATTGATGCACGTGGTCTCGCGTGCGACTCTTTGTTTTATTACCGTGGCTGTTATATAACGGTCACATTTGGAGTGTTTTGGGGGGGACGTGGGACGTGGGATTTGGGATGATGGGAAACCTCGTTTCTTTACTGTGGATATGGCTGTGGGATGTTCTGCTTTCCCCCCCCCCCCCCCCCCCACTGCCTAAGCTTATCTCGACACCGAGACCGGCTTCAGGTGAGGGTTAAGGAGTCGATTCATTGTTTGAGGTGTTGTTGTTGAATGTCCCCCCTTTTGACGGGATGCGGGTTGACGGGCCAGTAAAGGAGAGCTTTGTAAACCACGTGTGGACGGATTTATGCGCGCGGGGATTTGGTTGTAACTTTGTTCGAGTACGTATTAAACTATTTTAATAAATACATTTACTTTGAATTGTTGTTATTCCACACTACGTATTACGGTTTTTGATTATTGGCAATTTCTGGGGTTGGAAACAGGGGGGGCTGCGACAATGGGAAATGTCACGTCCGCTCTGTGCCGAAAGTCACAGATTTGCTTAATATCAAGACTGAAACCGAGCGGAGGAAAACTACATGAAAAAGAAAGAAAAAATAAACAAATGAGCAAGTTTGAGTGACGACGATGATACCAGGGACCTGGGCCTTTTCAGGCTCGGATCAATGTTGTGCGACGATGGTTGGAAAATGATGGTGTGCGCAGCGTGTGTTTCCGGCGATCTGGAGGCCAGGACAGCGATCAGGGCGAGAGAGACAGAGAAAGAGAGAGAGAGATCAGGACTACCCTCGGGCTGCCTTTGATTCGGTTTCGTCAGTAAATTGTCCGGCCGGTATGTGATTGACGGGATTGAATCGGGTAGGTCGTCGAGAAAGAAAAGCAGGGTTTGTTTTAGGTATGCTCAGCTGATTCGGTTTTGTCGCCTTGGGGCGGAGATGGTGGTGGTGGTGGTGGTGGTGGTGTTGGGTGGTATTGGTGGTTGCTGAATCTTTGTCGTTTGTGATGGCGGGCGGCGGGCTGCCTTCCCCGGGGAGAAAGGGGAGGGTCAGAGCCAGGCAGTGAGCATCAGAGTAAGGGTGTGTGTGTCTCTTTTTTTGTTTTGCCCTGGAGAGAGGTGCGGTTGGAGGGCTCTGGGGAGGATGATGTGGGTGGTGTGGGGAGGAGGTAGCTGATGTGATGACAAGTTTGGGGGGGGGGGGGGGGGGGGGAAGAGGGACACAAAGGGGCCGAGACCGTTGAAGGGGAATTTAGAGGGGTGTCTGACGTCGCTAGGCGGCTAGCTAGCTAGACAGTTGGCTGGCATAGCTGGCTGGCAATGTTAGCTACGGACGTTATGCGCGTGATATGGTTGGGGAACGGTTTGTTTTTCCCCCTTGTTTGATGATGCTTGTTATTTCAACAGAGCGAATCCGGGTTTACGTGCAAGTTGGGCTACAAAGATGGGACACAGATATGGTGGCGGCAGGGCGTGAAGAAGAGTTACCGACTATTCAAGGCTACAGATCCGAGTGGACGACAGTTTCTTGTTTGAGGCTTCTAGACAACGACGATGCAGACGCTGTGTATGTATGTATGTATGTATGCATGTGTGTGTGTGCATGTTTTTCGGTTGTTTGGGAGATGAGACCCTGACAAAGTGACGTGACCTGCCAGCGAAGCAGCTGGATGACGCCCCCCCTTCCAGCTTTATTTTCCCAAGCCCATGTTTTGCTTGCTTTTCCCGCAATACGGCCAAGGCATGGAGAACTGGGGGATGGCGATCCGCGGACGGGCCGTTTGGGTAAGAAAGGCTGGGTCAGTTGACTGCTTTTTTGCCAGGTATTCAGTGTCTTTCTTGTCTAGTGGTGGGGAAGAAAGGAGCCTGTGGTTGTGATGAGGGAGGCTTGGGGGTTGCGTTAGTTGCTAATGGAACCAATGCTTATGGGTCGTTTACAATGGGGGGTTTGCTCTTCTGTGTAGACGACGGGAAAAGGCTGGTAGGCTTATTTTTCCGTTACCCTAAGTTTTCTACGGACGTAATGTATCCTCTTCTCGATGCGGTAACCTGTCTGTTCCCCAAACGACGTCGAAAACTCACCCCTTGACGAAACATGACTGGCGTTCTGCTTTTTGAGGGTAAGGGGGCGGGTGGTCAGTTGTTGAGACGGTGCTATTTCTGATTCACGCACAGCTGGTTTCTGCAGGTCCTGTGCATGTAGGGAGCGCCGGAAGCTGGGAGCCGGAGCATGCGCAGTCTCTCCAGAGGAGAATAGTTGTAGCGGGAGTAGAGTCCAAGTGTAAGTGGTTTGTGTGTGTCTCTGCGTAAATGCGGGTGTGTGTGTGTATACTAACCGCTATGAGTGTAAGAGTATGAGAGATGGGTATTTCGGCGCTCCGGGCGGGGCGGCGGGTTGCAGGAACGGCCGCCGCCCGCGACACTCAGTCCCGTGAGTCCTCCTCCCGTCTCAGCCCAGCGGGGGGAGCGGTGTAAGGATAAGATCGGCCGGAAAGGGGGCATGTAGTTTGCGCACGTCGTTTCTCAATCCCATGTTTTCCTTTCAGCGGGGGCGCAGATTGCGGCTTGTTGCGTCAGAGACAATGACTGAGCCAGTCACCTGGACATGATGATTTTTCCCAACATGTTCTGGCATAGGAAGCAGACAACAGAGACACGGCGTAAAAAAAGGACGACCGTGCGGCGCTGACACGGAATGGCGAAGTGCAGAATTTGCCTCGATGCCTTGTTTTTCCAGCAAAGGGAACACTGACAGGCTGGACAAAGTCAGCCTCAACGGGCAGGCTAGGAAATGTACGTCAGCCCCCCTTCTCCTCCTCCCCTTCGGTATAGGGCAGGATTGGATGATGGGTTTGTATTTCGCGCAGCTCAAACCGAGTCTTGTCTTGTGTAACTGTCCGCTTCTGGTGTTTCCACGGGGGGGAAAGGAGCGAAAATTAGGAAGAATGGGGGAAAACCTAAGGGCAGGCGGCATACCCGTTCTGACAATGGTAGGGGACGTGTCTCTGACGATCCTGATGTTAAGCCCGTTTTTTTGCTTTTTCTTCGTTTTGGGAGCACTGGGGGTTTGTGTCTTGTGCCCGTTTAGTCCTTCTCTGAGACGAAGATCTACGGTCTGCCTGGGAGCTGTGCTCCGGGTGTCTCATGTCTAAAATACGTCAAAATGGCAAAGCCTTGTCAGTTTGTTTGCGTAGTCTTGAGTCGACAATATCTACTAGTATCACCGTCGACTATTCTGGTAAAGTCATCATCCCGCTGCCGCCCACATGCCGTAATGGTGATGGTTTTGCGCCGGTGGGGCGAGGGCACGGCGAGATCTGAACACTGTTGTACTCTGTTGAGAGGGGAAGCATGCCAAAAGAAATTTCTGTATATCCCTCCCAGCCGTTGTGGCTTTTTTGGCGTATACGACACGGCGATTCTGACAGCTCTGACTTGAAGAGGGGTCAGAAACATTATGGCCTGGGGAGAGGCACGGAAGGGGTCTAATAAGGGGTCTTTTTTTGTTCCCCTGTGTCGGCCCGGCGGCCATGGGATTTCTGGTTTACGGCCTGGTAGCGATGGTAATTACGGTTCCGATTAAGGGATGCAGGGAGGCACGGCGGGGCTGGGTGATTATTACAGCGATGTGCAGTCTTTGACGATTTTTTTATACATTTATTCGTATTATTATTTAATGGCCACTAGATGATACTGTAAATGTCTCTGAAGTCAGGTAGAGTTGGTGTTTATACGGGGATACCGGTAATTGATGCTTAGCCTCTTACGGAATACTTGTACCTGAGGTGAGATTGTATAGTACAGTATGACACCGAAGCTGATGCGGGAAAGCATCCTGTGGCGTATCATTTCTGAGATTGTTTTTTTTTTTTTTTTAATGTGCCAAGTAAATCCATTGTTACAATCAAGTCGAGTCCAGTGACATTCAGTTTCCGTTTCTTCCCTTGGGTCCTTTCACATGTAGCTAAAACACCAGTCACTCGTTTCCGATGGAGCCAGAAGCACATGTCGAAAACCAGCTCCTCATGCCGCATCCGTGGATTTAAAAAAAAAAAAAAAAAAAAGCCACGAGGTCGACGGTAGACTAACACTCCCCCAGGGAACGGATCCTAAGGTGGTCACGGCGTCAAAAGATCGTCCCACAGCTAGATTTGGCGGCGCTGACCCGATGATCTGCACAGGTGAGCTCTGAGCTTTTGATAGTTGATCGTCAACATACTACTGTCAGGCACGAGGTACGCAATACATGATTTACGTATCGTGAAATGACGTCCTAAGAAAGCCTCAGCTCTGTACTAGACCGTAGTGAAATCACAAAGGAGGCAAGGGAATGCAACGTATCGCCACCGTCGTAAATAATACGTCAGGGAATTCAAAATGAATAATGTGAAAGCCATGAATGAGGCTCCGTTTGTAATATCCGAACAAAAACGGGGGGGAAGGGGGCATCTGAATTGGAATGGCCTTGAGTATCGGTACTATGGCGTCTTGTTTTTTTTTTTTTTTCCTGATTATCATTAAATATTATTTTGAATTAACTTATTTAAATAACTTCAATAAATGGCAAATACCTCGGAATGTAGCCACAGAATAAGCATAACACACAATCTCACTACCTACACCTGGGTAGCTTCGAGCCTCTCCTCCGGCCAGGCTAGAGGGCGTGCAACAAGATGAGCTTCGAATATGCGTAGGGAAAATACGTATATTCCAAACGAAAAAACACGGCTGGATGCGTTCCTTTCTTTTTTTTCCCCTCGTCTTGCTCGGCACCCCCTCCAGCCAACGGAAACTCTTCCGGTAATGTCATCCAGTCATCCAGACCACCTGCTTCCACCCCTCCGGAATGCTTCCCCGGACGGGAAGGTCTGCCAGGGCGTGGCAGTGTGTGTGCCTGGAAAGGACCTTGGTCTGCGCAGTTTGTACTGAGACTGCCGGGTTTCGCATTCGGCCGCAAGGAGTATCAACGTGGTTTTTATTATTTGCTTGTCAGCTCAGGTCTGGGAGGGTAGTGTCAGGAGCGCCTCTTGCGTCGTTGGGTGACAGTGCGGTGTCCAGGGAGTGTAGGGTGGTGAGGGGGGAGGAGGGATTCATGACATGACTACGCAAAATGCGAATATGCGACTGCAAAGGCCCGGGCCCCCGGCAATGTGTCTACAGATTCAGCAGCGATTCCCTGCGATACACGAGGCTGGCGATGAGGACCGTGGATCTAGTCAGCTATCACATATCACAGTGAGCGCGCGCCTGGTCTCGGTGGAGCGGCGCGGCGGCTGTCATATCCCGGATGAGATGGAGGGGCTACGCTAGATGGGATGTGGACTATATGGAACAGAATCTGGACTATGTTTGAGCCGAGATTGCCATGAGAAAAATCCCAAGAAGAGAGTTGGGGATGCCCTACGGGTAATGCTGTTCCGCGGTTATAGTACTAGGGAAGGGATACGCAAAGAGAATGTCTGAAGCCTCCCGTCATCGAGATCTAATAGGGAGCCTCGTTCCATCTCATGAAGATGTTGGATTCAAGACGCCCCCTCGACAGGGACCAAGGCGGGGAGGGAACATTCACATGTGGTTTGGCGTCGGTCTGCTCCTTTTTGGGGCTGCTGTTTAGCCAAGCCACCCTGATTGAGAATTGGTATGACGGAGGGGTAAAGATTGAGAAAAATGTCACTGGTCGTGTCTGTGATTATTTCTTCTTCCAAGGCGGGCAGAAATGGAACACTCCCGGCTGGGTAGTCCGGACTAGATGGAGGAACATGGGGAGAGACAGTGATTCAAAAGACCCCGGACAGATGGCGTTGAGGGTTGGCCACACCAGCACGGGGCGTCCAGGATGTTGGATTTGCCGGTTTTGATGCAGCAAAAAAGAAAAAGGCAGATCTCATCTCGGATTGTATCTGCGTCGCAAACGCCATAGAGATCTTGGTGGCCTTTGCTAGACTGTCTATCGCATGTCGCATATCGCGTGCATTGAGATTGGGGGATTCCCATTTTTTTCTCATTCATCTATTCATTGATTGCTTACTGCGACCCTTGCAAACATGTGGAACACTGTTAAGAAAAACCTTTTTTTCTATTTTTCCTTCATCACCCGACTACATGAAGGATACGATAGATGACAAGACAGGCTATAGAGAACGGTCCAGACATTGGGGCGATCTACTTGATATCCCGTATCCCAACACCCAGTCTGTAGCGCACCAGTCACAAGAGAGTTCCCCTCGGAAGAAGCCGCATGTGCTAAGAAAGTGTAAGTGTGACCCAGCCAGGCAGGGCAATTAGTGTGTGGAGAAGATCACTGGGCACGCAAATGCTGCACTACTCTATGTTACTATGTAGTATAGACCCTGGCCGCCCCCGGCGAAATCGCCGGAGCCAGCGGTCAAGTTCCCCCCTCGTAATGCAGGGACAAACGGCGTCGGCCGGTCTGTCGGTCGCAAAGGTCCAGACCAGGCAATTGTATAGAAAATAACGATAAGTTGCTTTTGTTTTGCGCGCTTGATACGGGCGCAGGGCAGACATTCATTACGGTTTGGAAATCTAGCCTCGCCTATTCAACCCCATAGAGAGAGTATGACCAGAGGCGGGGTTTATAATGTGGCCTTTGAGATGCTCGGCGAGGCCCAGCATTCCTGCTTGGTGGTGTTGGTTTAATTACTATGTATCCTTACTTACTACTCTATCACTTCTGAATAGACCACTTGTTCGGTATTTCTCCGCCCTGGAAATACTCGAATACGGAGTCTCCTGTCCCAGAACCGCTTTCTAGGCTCCATTCTTGGGCAAATAGAGCTAACACTTCCGTTTCTGAACTCCCCAGATCCCAGCCAAGAACCAGATATCACGCACCCCCCCTAATCCACTCTCTCCCTCTGGCTCTAGGCTAGGAATACACCATCACGAATACACTCGATGGGCGGGCTTCATGGCTTACGATAGGCACTCTTGACCGGGGGTCTAGGCATCGCGGGCGGAGGATTGTCTTTGCATTCCCCTGTTCTCTTTAACGCCCCCTCATCCAAACGCAAATCGCCGCACCGCAAAGCACACGCAATCCCTCACCTCGGAGTATCGTACGGACTAATTTTCCCTTTCCCTCCACATGTGAGAATGGAGGAGGCGCGGAAGCCCTTGTAGAGGCCACGATCACGGAGTATAAACCCACAAAACGGCCGTTAGAATGCCCCCGGACCGAGGTGGATCGGTTGTTTTCTTGCACGATGGTGGCAAACCCGCTCCCGTGGCAAGGGCTCCAGCTCATACCATCCCTTCATCGCGATCGTGATACTACTGTTTCTCGACAGGTAGGTAAGGCCACATGTTATTCTCTCATACTCTGGATGAAGAGGGTCAATGTGACCCCAAAGGGGGTATCTTCCGGGAGTAACCAGGTGAAACGCCCTTGCGTGGCAGACGACCACTTCGACCTGCAGATAGATCAACAGGTTCGGGGTCTTTTTAAGTAGGTCCCCTGGACCCTTGATGGGCGAATCTGCAAAATGGTGTCCGTAAATGGCCACGGCATCAAGAAACACGCGCGGCGAGCGCTCGCGTCTCGTTGGCTCGTGAGCTCCTGTGTCTGGGGAAAGATGCGCAAGGCGCCTGATCAGCGGTGGTCCCTGGATGGGCCAAAGGAGGAGGCGGCGACAGATCGTCTGGGGAATAGATGCTCCGGGTCACAAGGTCAGCCTGATCTCTTACCGTTGCTCCTAAGAAGCATGGACGCGCCGGCGACATTATACCGAGGATATTATCTTCACGAAAGCCCCTTTTGCACATGTCCACCGGTAGATCGCGCACTTTGTTCATCACGAACAGGGTCGAAAAAGTAATCTCGGGACGAACCTTTCAAGTGAGCTTCTGCTCGGTCCATTTGGCGCCGGCTGGCCACGCACGCGGAGAAAGAGAGATAGAGCCAAGCAGCGTGACATTCTGCAGCCCTGTCGCTCGTCACGCGGCCCCGAAAAGATCCTCCACCAGTCGGCACTGGTGGCTAAATCCCTCGGGTAAATGGCAACCTCCTGCTGGGCCACATGGCTCGCTCTCCAGCCCCAGTTAGAGTGTCAGAGTGAGTCTCCAATTCTGTATCCTTTGGCTATGGTTGACAGTAGTCACCCTAAGGGTATCAATCATCTCTCCTTGGTGTCAATGAGCTCCGAAAACTCAGTCTAGAACGGACCGGTCTGATGCAAGAAGGGTCCTGGGCGCTCTTCGTGAAAGTCTGCTGATAGTTTCGGACCCTTGAAAGTATCTCTCCCGGCCGGCTCCCCGGGAGGAGTGTCGACAACCCTCCTTTACTTTCACTTTTTATTGATTCTCAATGATTTCTCCCATTCGCTTATCCTCGTGTCATACATACCCTCTGGAGAGAGGAGAGAAAAGAGTTTTTCTAGGCAATTTCGAGTCTTTAGACTTTTCTGGACCGTCTTGCGAGACAAATGTCCAACACGAACTGCAGACCTCACGCCAAACCCCACTACCTTCGTGACCAGATCACATCCTCCTCTCCACCCCCCCTGGTCCCTAATCCATTTCCAAAATCTCACAAACATGTTCCACTGAAGGAGGGGGTTATTGGGATGGGATTTGACCGAGAGCGAAGCTACCAATTAAAAAATCACAAAATTGGCCATTTTTCTATCAAAGGTCCTGGATGTCTTTGACACACATGATTGCGAATTACCCGCAAAAAGCGGAGATTGCCGCGGAGAGTCTTCTCCTCCAACTTTTGCCTCGTGGCAGCCCAACGACGATGGAGCAACCTCCTCACCACCCCCCTTGCCTGGATCCCCTGGAGCACAAGAAGGAGGAGGTTTTTTGTTAATGAACCCCCGAGCAAACCCGAGGCCAGGTGGGGACCCTGAATGGGAACACAAGTGATATTGGTCCAACCTAACTGTTGGAAGCGGCAGGCCTTCGCCCCCTTGACCAGAGTGAGAAAGACGCAGGCGGGGCAGGGTGACTACAGGAAACGAGCCCTGTAGTCCGAAGTTAAGCCAGCCTTTCAGAGAGCTCTCATTACGCGAGACCCTGGTCCCTTGAGCGTCTTCTCGAGTTGCTGCGCTTGTTGGAATGGCGCGTGTGACATGGTGGGCGTGCGTGTGTGAAAAATCAAGAGATACCCCCAACCAAGAGAGGGGGAGCAAAGAAAGGATGAGAACAAGTGCCTTGTGGCCTTGGTGAAGTCGAGCTTTTTTTTTTTTGCTCTTGGAAGTGGACTTTGCAAGAACCAAGGCCCGGTTTGTAAAAGTCTTGGGAGAAAGAGGAGAAACTTGGAAGCAATTCTCGGACCTCCACCCCAAAAACGGTCATCACCAGAGTTGCATCGAAGCGCCATCGCGTCGAGCGCCCCCCCGTTAGCGCCTCCGCGGTGCTATGTAGTAGCCTATCCACATCGCTGGGTCGCTCTGCCTTGCGTCTCGCGCCTCAAGCAGGAACTGAAGAAA